GCTTTAAACTACGTTTCCTTGCAAAGGCTGCTTCACAGACAGAACAGCTGAAAAGTTTATCTCTGCTGTGCCTTATCATGTGTTGCTTTAAGTAACTTTTGCTTGCAAAAGATGCATCACAGACAGAACAGCTGAAAGGTTTCTCTCCGCTGTGCCTTAACGTGTGTCGCTTTAAACCACTTTTCCTTGCAAAGGCTGCTTCACAAACAGAACAGCTGAAAGGTTTCTCTCCAGTGTGGATTCTCATGTGTTGTACTACTGCATGTTTACATGCAAAAGCTGCTTTACACCAAGAGCAACTGAAAGGTTTACCTCTTTTGTGGATTCTTCTATGTTTTAACAAATCTGACCTCTGGTAGAATGTTTTACCACATTCAGTGCAGCTGTAAAGCTCCTCATCACTCTGACATTTTGTATCATCTTCAGGAGCTGTATTATTTTTCTCCAAGTTCAAAATCGGAAGATGTTCACCGTTCTCCCAGTTTTTGTAACTTATATTTACCTCTGAAGACTCTAATACTTTGTCTTTGGAATCTGACTCTAAATGCTGATCTGGTTCTGGTTCGTCGTGGTCTTTGTTCTCAGTCTTGCAGGTACAAAGCTCTGAGAACTGAGGCTTCTCATCATCATCTTCAAACTTCACATTGATAGGGGTAATTTCAGCCTCCTCCTGTTCCTCCTTAATCTGTGGGGGCTTTTCGTCCTCCTGGTCCAGACTGGGGCTCCAGTTCTGCTGCTCCAGAGAAAACTCCTCTTTAACTTCTGCAGGAGATGAAGACAAAAAATGTCTGAAAAAAGTCCAACTATTTTTCACCCCCTCATTTTAATGAATTACCAACAGCTGCTGAACTTCTGCAGGAAACAGAAACACAAACAATTTATAAAAAGCAGCATTAAGTCATAAATAAAAGTGTTCACAAATGTTAAGATATTAAAGATAAATATTTCATTCTGGCTGAAGTTTTGACTCTTACATTCAAAGCAACAAGTAGAAACATGTCATACATTTCTGGTCAAAAACTATTTTAGAGCAAAAAACTGTAACCTAATGATTCATCAATCTGATAACAATATTCAGACATAGATCCATTCTTTGTGTTTTTTATACAGTTTTATTCAGACATGTCTGAGAGAAAGACAGGAGCAAAAGTCTGTTTAAGGCTCAGGTGTCGATGTAAAAGTTTGTCAGCTTTTACTGATGTTATCTATCATGTTCCTATTACCCATAATGCATTATGTAAATTACAGGCACAACTTCCACAAAATGCTTATTTAATGAAAATGGTATACAAAACCTCCTGACTCAGAACAACTGTTGACACAAAAAACACTTTGTTTTAAGATCGTTAAAACCTATCCATCCCTGGTGTTGTGCACAAACATGTTTAGTTGAGCTCCTTAAAATTTAGCTAATAAACGTTCCTACAGCCATCCACACTTTAAGCATTTCTAAAAGACAATTTAAAACTTAATTTTCCCTAATACAGTTCCAGCTCTAGTTCAAGTTCAAGTAGGTTTTATTGTCATTTCACCACATGTGGTACATGAGGTGGAACAAAATTGTTTACACATTGTCCCAGTTACAACCAACAATAGCAAAAATATAAAGTGTAAAAAGAAACAGTAAATAAGGATCTAAGATTTGCACTAAGATATACGCTAAACGAATGCCAAATGGTACGCTAAAAGATCTAAGATATACGCTAAACACTACTAATGCAAAAAAATACGCCGAACAACAGCAGCACGAACATGAGTCTGTGTGAGTAGATGAGTATGAATGAATACAGCAGCATGAAATAATCAGCAGCATGAGATCAGCAGCATGGATAATTAGTAGCACATATGACCAATCAATGTGGCATTACAGTGATTTTTTTTTCTCACAGTGATTATTCTGGTTAGAGATTCATGAGTCTAACAGCTTCAGGGTAGAAGTTGTTCCTCAGTCTAGTGGTTCTACACTTAATGCTCCTTAACCTCCTTCCTGAGGGGAGTGGGGCAAAAAAGTGTGTGTGCTGGGTGAGTGGGGTCCTTCATGATGCAGGTGGCCCTCTTCCTGCATCTGGAGGTGTATATGTCTGTGATGGTGGGGAGACTGACTCCAACAGACTTCTGTGCAGCCTTCACCACTCTCTGCAAAACTTTTCTTTCTGCAGCTGTGCAGCCTCCATGCCACACGTTGATGCTGGAGCACAGGATGCTCTCCACTGCACACCTGTAGAAGGAGGCGAGGACTAGACCAGCTCAACACAGCCGTCTGAGGAAGTAAAGTCTCTGATGAGCTTTCTTGATCAGGCTGGTGGTGTTGTTGCCCCAGCTGACCATCTCCTTTCTCTTCTTCAGATTGATGTGAAGGTTGGTCTTCCTGCACCAGCTCTCCAGGTTTTCTACCTCCTGCCTGTAGCTGGACTCATCATTGTTTGTGATGCATCCAACCACCGCTGTATCATCTGCAATATGACAGCCTGGATGGGTAGGTGGCGCACAGTCATATGTGAGCAGAGTGAACAGGAGAGGGCTCAGCACACAGCCCTGAGGCAAGCTAGTGCTGAGGGTTATGGTGGAGGAGGAGAAGTTATGGATCCTCACAGACTGTGGTCTGTTTGTTAAGTCCAGGACCTTGTTGCATAGGGAGGGTCTTGGAAACCTTGAAATGTAGTTTTTACTATTATGAATGTTTTATGGATATCTCAGATTTTGTAATTAATTGCTTTTAAATAAAGCAATTAATGTTTTATTTTACATATATTTTCTAACAAAAATAGTAAATTTAGGAAAACATCAACTTGTGAACATCAAGGTTCATGCTCAATTATCCAGGTTTAAAAAAAAATCCACCAAAGTTCAGTTAAGTTTTTTATCAGGTCTCTCTTGTAAATGAGTCCTCGAGGCTCAATGGGATTTACCTGTATAAATAAAGGTTGATTGATAAGTCATCGGGACGGTTTCTTTTTTATCTTGAGACTTTCACAAAAGTGAACAGGTTAATTTTGGGACTGAATGTAGTTTTAAGAAGTGGAAAAAGGACAAATTAATTCAGATTTTATCTGTGTGAACTGAACTCTTAATATTTCCTATAAATGGTGAACTTGCACAATGCTGACTCTTCAACTTTAAAAGACTTGGATGACAACTTGTAGTAATTCTGGTATATTAGCAAATTTGACTAATAACGCTGTTGCGACAGACAACAAAGCAGAAAATAAGCTTAAAAACTGTAAAGTTAATCAAAACCTGAACAAAAGTGAATGTAAAATAATGCTACTCGTAATAATAACAGAGATTATGCAGCATAAATACCATCAACGTGAGAGTCCATGTCATGTGTCATTGAAGAGACAGCCTCCGTTAGTAGTCGTATTCTAACTTCTTCAGTCACGACCCGTTAAGTTAATCAAAACCTGAACAAAGGTGAATGTAAAATAATGTTACTTACAATAATAACAACATAGAGATGCAGCATAAATATAATCTACGTGAGAGTCCACGACCCGTTAGCTTAGCTGCTAGCTTCCAGCTAGCATACTAAGCTAACATTTTTTACTTTTGTTGCTGAACAAAATAAAAATATTCACAGTGATCATAAGAGCACAACTCCCACAAGACACGCATACAAGAAACATTTAGGACTGGCTTTAAATAGAGACTACATACAGTTAAACAAATAACGCTGTTCAAAAAAGTTGTTTTGTGAATAATCACTTCCGGACCGATGATCGCTTTATCCGCTTTCAAAATAAGAGCTGACAACTTATTTTCTCAAATTTAATTTTCACAATTGGTTTTTCTTTTAACTCAAAATTGTATTTGTATAATTTTGACAGCTTTAATATGTAATTCATGAATATACAAACTGTCGGAATTGATAATAAAGCACTAAAGGTTTGCTGGTTGTAACAGATATTGAGCTTAAATAACATTTCAAAACTTTTATTTTGTATGCCAAAATATACATATACAGAGCATACAATTAAAATATTATGAACCACATATTGCATCGTTTCTCTAGTCTCAAATCGTCTGTACTTGGCAAGTGGCAGGCACTGTTGGACATGTTTCATTCATTCATTCTTTATTCATAGGTTAGTCTCATTGAGCCACAAGAACTCATTTACAAGAGACCTGTTATAAACAAAGAACACAGATGAGGTACAGACAACAATAGACAATCATATAAAATGAAAAGTAAATAGAATAAATGCAATTAAAAAAACAGCTACATTATAAAGCGATGTAAAATACTAAAAGCAAGAACACGTCTGCATTGGTTTTTGCCATGAAATTAACAGGTCCAATAAAAAAAAACAAAAAAAACAGTTTCATTAAAAACCTTTCTTTTCATAACTTATATGAGGTTGGTAAAGCTTTTGACAACACATACTGGTATGAAGCTGTTGAGTTCACAATCACCAGGTTGTGAAACATCACTCGGATTTAATTTACTGGTAGGTTATACTATAATTTAATTATTTTATTTCTAACTGTCTTATCTCCCATTTGAGCTTTTTCCATCACAAGAATACACAACACTTAATATGTACATTTATATTTTCCTTCCTGTGAAAATATAAAGTGTACCACCCTTCACATTTTAAAATAAACATCTTAAAATATTAAAAAACAATTGTCTCGTAATAATTTCCCTTCTAATGACAACACTGAGAGCTAAAAGTTCCAACGATGTGGCAGGACTTGGTATGGTATACAGACTTTAAAAAGAGGAAAACAGAAGGCCAAGTATAAATATAAATATCTGAAAGTTATTTGTGCTCTCTCATGTGATGAGTCAGACTTGACTTAAAACTGAAGCTTTGGTCACAGACTGAGCAGCTGAACGGCTTCTCTCCAGTGTGGATTCTCGAGTGTTCTAATAAAGTATATTTCCTTTTAAAAGCTGCACTACAAACAGAACAAATGAAAGGTCTTTCTTCTGTGTGGACTCTTGTGTGTATCACCAAATCATATTTTCGTTTAAATGCTGCCTTACAAACAGAACAGCTGAACGGTTTTTCGTCACTGTGGCACCTCATGTGACGGGTTAGACATAACTTGCGACCGAAGCTTTGGTCACAGATTGAGCAACTGTAAGGTGTCTCTCCCGTGTGGATTTTTGTATGCTCTGTTAAATTCATTTTGCAGGGAAAAGCTTTGTTACAAAATAAGCAGCTGTAAGGGTTTTCTCCCGTGTGGCATCTCATGTGATAAATTAGATTTTGCTTACTGCTGAACTTTTGCTCACAAAGGGAGCAGCTGAACGGTTTCTCTCCACTGTGCGTCCTCATGTGTTGCTGCAAGCCACTTTTCCTTGCAAAAGCTGCTTTGCAAATTAAGCAGCTGAATGGTTTCTCTCCAGTGTGAACTCTCATGTGGTTTGCTAAAGTGTGTTTCCATGCAAAAGCTGCTTTACAGACAGAACAGATGAAAGGTTTTTCACCTGTGTGGACCCTCTGGTGTCTTGATAAATCTGACCTCTGGTTGAAAGTTTTACCACACTCAGTGCAGCTGTAACAATTCTTACCGCTCTCAGATCTTGTTTCACCTACAGAAACTTTATTACCCACAACATTTATAACTGAAGGACGTTCACTGTTCGCACATGTGTCATTACGGACGTCAGTCTCTGAAGAATCAAAATCTTTTTCATCAGGATCTGAATTTAAATATGGATGTGGATCTGGTCCTACAGAGCCTCTGTTCTCCACAGTCTTGCTGAAATAAAACTCAGAGGTCTGAATTTTCCCTTTTTCGTCTTCTATTTTGACAGGAATAGGGCTGAATATAACCTCTACAATATCAACCTCATCTGGTTCATCTTTAATTTGTGATGGCTTTTGATGCTCCTGGTCCAAACTAGGACTCCAGTTCTGCTGCTCAGAAGGAAACTCCTTTTTGATCATCAAAAGCTGGTGGACGTCTGGGGGGAACAAAAACAGACAAGTTATATACAATAGTATTATATGATAAATAAATTACATAAATTCAGCATTTTTGTCTGAGTTACCAGTGTTAAAATAGTAGTAAGTAAATTTATTCTGGATAAAATCTTGACTTTACTGACAAGGCATGGGCCTTTACGGTGTAAAGGTGCACTACAACATCAAATGTTCCGATGTCAAAATCAAAAATGTTATTAAATCATACTTTTCTCTAGTTTTAATGACATTACAGTGTGAGATTTTTTCTGATGATGAGCAGAACGTAGTAGGGCTCCCTCTCTTACACCTGTTGTTGAGCTGTGTATGATGGCCAAAAAAGGAGAATCACTGAAATGTGCAGAACCAAAACTGCTCACAGACTGAAATTATGATCTGCTAGTCTTTAAAATTTCAAATGTCTTTTTTATCTATCTCATCCTAGTGAACAACGCTGAATGAAAAGTATTATTGTGGACTTTACCTGTTGCTACCTATATAGTTATATAAACTATTGTTCCTCAAAAATGTGTTAATGTACATTTTTCAGGGTCCTGTTAAGAGTGAAAACATTGCCTGTGGCTGCAGTGCTGCAAATTGGTTAATTGGACATAACAGAACTGGAATTGGATGTCCTATTTTCCAACTTGAAACACCATTGTAACTCATATTAACACAAAAAACACAGATTTACAAATGGCAACTCTGTTTAAAAGTCAAAAGAATGAATTGATTTTTTCGTACCGTGTGTTGGTTCATCCATCTCAGTTAATTTCTCCACATCTGGAGTTTTGACACGAAAACAGCAGAATCTTTACTCCATCTAAACCAGAAAAACAGGTGGCCACCCTCATCATCAGGGTCTCATACGACTCGTGTTGCTTTCAGCTAGCATGCTAAGCTAACACTTGCGGGAGTCAACTAAATTATTCACAAAGAAAGCAAAGAGCAGAACTTCCATTAAAACGCTTTTACAAAACAGACAATAATTGACTCAGTACACCATGAAAAAAGACTGGAATCTCGCTACACATCTAAAAGAAAAATCACTTCCGGGTGGCTTCAGATACGCCTTGTTTTGATTGTCCAATCAGATGTGACCTTCTAAATACGCCTTGTTTTATCGTCCAATCAGATGTGACCTTCTAAATACGCTGTTTTATCGTCCAATCAGAAGAAGCCCTCTAGATACGCCTTCCATATTTGTCTGCAGATACCCACTTGAGTCAACCATGGTCCATTTACGCTTTCAAAATAAGAGTTCCAAGATTGAACCGTAGACTGAAATAAACTACAGCGCACATCTGTGATGGGCTTTGTGAGTTTTTTTTAAGACAAGCACATTGGTATTAAAACTGTCAAGTGTCAGATTTGAAACTAATATACTTTTAGTTTATTAAACAGTGTGCACACAAACATATAAGGCATAATCCTAACACAATTAGTTGTTTTGAGTTCAATGAAAATGGAAAGCTGAGCAATTTCTTTTTACCAGGATCAGAAACTTCTAAACCATTCCTAATACACAAAGTTTACCCCTTTTTCAGTGCCACTAAATAGTCAAAACAATATAGTTGTATTTAAATAAACAACTATTTTCTAATCTGAACAAATGAAAAGAGTTATCATTTTTTAAAACCTTTATTTTACCAGGAATAAACCCACTGAGATTATTAATCTCGTTTACAAGGATGTCCTGTTATCTACAAATTAATATGATGGTAAAACTTCTTCAAATTAATACAGACTTAAATATTTCTATTTGAACGGTTAGGAGATTACCAAGAGGCAGAAATGTCTAATAAAAAATAAATAAATGAATATAATGTGCAAATAATACATTGACAATTATTTAACATCTCCTAATGGAACTCGTATCTTTTTCAAATCATCCTCCTCAAATCATCATTCAGCTGTTTCACTCAGCTTTAAATACAAAAATATACAGCACTGTGTAAAAGTCTTAAGCTACCACACAATTAATAAATAAGAAAATCCAGAAAAGACTAGACACAGGACCCAAGAGACGCGTAATTACCAAAACTGGACTGAAAATAAATTACAAAGCATGCTCTATTAAAAACGAACATCATCATCAAACTTTAATAACTACTGCTCAAAACAAATGTGAAATTACAAGCAGCTTTGGCTTTTAGAAATTAAAATATAAAGAGAAAAATATATTAATTTTGGCTTTAAACCACACACAAACCAAAAATGTCAGTTTCTTATCACAAACAACAAATCTTAATTTGAAACCTTCATTTCCAAGTCATCTAGGAGGATTTTGTTTCTCCTGTGCTCTTTGCGTTCAATAACATTATCAGTCTGTTCAGTAGTGTGGGTTCTTCTGTGGCGGACTAAAGAGTTTTTCCATTTGAACGCCACCTTACAGACACAACAAGTGAAAGATTTTCTTCTCGTGTGGCACGTCATGTGACGAGTTGCATTTGACTTTTGACCAAATCTTTGGCCACAAACAGAGCAGATGAAAGGTTTGTCTCCTGTGTGAATCCTGTTGTGTCTGAACAGATCCATCTTGCGGTTGAATGTTTTACCACATTCGGTACAGCTGTGGATCTTTTTACTCCTCTTACAAGTTTTGTTACGCACAGGAGCTTTATTGTTAGAGTTCAAATGTGACTGAGGTTCACTGCTCTTTAGAGGAACAGATCTGGACTCTGTAATAGTCCCCGCTAGTTGCTGTTTATGGTCTGGGGACTCCTGGTCCAGTCTAGGACTCTGATTCTTCTGCTCACAGGGAATCTCCTCTTTAGTCACTAACAGCTTCTGGACATCTAGGAAACAGAAACACAGACAATAACAAGGAAACAGTTTGTTTTTCTGTAATCACTAGTCATTCCAGTATTTAATTTATATAACTAATGTTCTAAAATATAAGAATAAATATTTTGTCATGGCTGAAAATTTTATTGTAACAACCACAATTCTACCACCATGGAGAATATGTATTTGATTCATTGCTGATTTTGTAAGAATGTCCACTTTAAAGAAATGAAAAGTCTATAATTGTTAAGATGTTACCATATAATATTTCTCTCTCTCTCTCTCTCTCTCTCTCTCTCTCTCTCTCTCTCTCTCTATATATATATATATATATATATATATATATA